CACCCGTACGCTAGGCTATAGTAGATAAATGTAGAGTTCGAATAGTTATAAAATAAGTGTTTGTCCTTTTAGTAGCGATTAGAAACGCAAACGTACAAAAGATTCTGCTTTCAAGTAGGACGCTAAAATGGAGGAACAAACACCACGTCTTTTCAGTCGAAATCGTGCTCCACCGTCACGGAATCTTATCACTTTTACAGTCACTATCGCTCTATATAATGTTTTCTCTACTGAATATCCATGGATCGACCTTGAACTTCAACGTTTAGAATACTTTGAAATCGTTCGAATTGATAACATAGACGAATGGGTAGATCGTATGACATCGAACACGAATAAGAATATCATTTTACTTATTATTCCACGAAAGTTTGTCGGCATTGGACAGATCCTTCGTGAAGCTGTATGTCAGGTAAAACGTGTCTATTTACTTGATGATGCGATCGCCATGTCTACATGATGATGACAGCGAATGTTTCTTTGGTGATACTCATATGCCCGTTTCGGCACTTTCTGATAATATACGCGGGTGGATTGGAAGAAACACTCAAAACATAGTTCAAGAAAAAACTAGTCAGAGTTTGTCTGACGAATCTGCCGTTTTTATCTGGTATCAGTTCTTTTTCAACCTTCTGAACCGACTACAACCTAGTAGAGTTGCACTACGCGAGTTGATCGATGTAATCGATAGAGAGTTTGTCGCCAATGAACTCAATCAGCGGCTTGTGAATGAATTTAAGAATTCTTACTCGGCGAACGAAGCAATTTATTGGTACACGCGAGAATCATGTTTATATGGTATGCTTAACAAGAAGCTTCGTAGCCGAGACATCAATGCTATATTCGAATGTCGAACAATCCTTCTAGACATTCAGAAGCAGTTACGATATTTACATATTGTTGAAACAAATAAGAATTTTCATGACTCTATAGAAGTATACCGCGGGCAAATTATGGCAATGCATGAGATTCAGTATTATAAAGAAAATCTGAGCGGTTTGGTAGCCATAAATCCTTTCCTATCGACGAGTAGCAGTAGACAGGTTGCAGAATGTTTTGCCGAGGTTGAACCATTCGATAAAGAACACTGTGGAGTACTTACCGTTATTCGTATTCCATCGAACGTCCGACAAGCGATTCATGCATCTATTGAACAAGAAAGTGCATTTCCCGACGAACAAGAACGGCTTATGTCGTGGCACTCTTTATTTCGTGTGGATAATGTGGAACATGAGAAGACTGGGCGATGGATGATACACTTCACACTTGTGGATGAAGACGCTCCAGAGTATCGTGAACTAGCAAAAACTTGGGAAACCAATCTTGGTAATCGAGATTTTTTTGATGGCCGCCAGACACAGGTGTTTATGCGAGATCTGAATGAGGCGAATGGACCATTTCTTAGCTTTCAAATACTAATGGACATAGTACTGAGGCTAAATCGAACAGATTATGCTAAGAAAGAAATGGTGGAATTATGTCAAGAAATATACGCGACAAATGATGCCGAGCTAAAGAAAATCGACAATTTCGAACTAATATACAACAGTGAAAATGCAGCTCAATGGTATACGAAGGACTGTTTTCTTTATCGCTTATTAAATGAGACCCTACGGTACGAAAAAATCGGCGTGATCTTTAAGTTGCGCTTGTTTATTCGTGACCTTCATAATCAACTGGTTGACTTACAAAAAGACTATCTTCGAACACTACCTTTAAACACTCGTTTTCTTATCCTTTATCGAGGTCAAACAATGACGATTCATGAATTGCGAAAATTTCATACAGGAAGTAAAATGTCGGTCAACTCCTTTTTATCAGCGACAACTGATCCAGTCGCAGCGGGTGCCTTTGCTGGTGATGTTGGTGACGGTGTTCAAGATCCTAATGTATCTGTCATCTATGAAATCACGGTTGATCTCACAGTACCTCATTCGGTACCTTTTGCTTCAATCGCTCACCTGAGCACAAAACCAGATGAGGAAGAAGTCTTATTCTCTATGGCCTCTGTCTTTCATATTGATCACATCGAGCAACTCAGAGAACGAGTATGGAAAGTGAAGCTTTCACTTATCAATATAGAAGATGAGCAATGGAAGGCTCTTACCGCTCATCTTAAATAGCTGCATTCAGTGTTGTATAAGAAAGCAGGTGTCGGTGTGATGGTGTGGATGTGGATGTGGATGTGGGTGTGGTTTCGGAGACGGGTGTGGATGTGGATGTGGGTGTAGTTTCGGAGACGGGTGTGGATGTGGATGTGGGTGTGGTTTCGGAGACGGATGTGGGTGTGGTTTCGGGGACAGGTGTGGGTGTGGTTTCGGGGACAG